TCATCATCATCATCATCATCATCATCATCATCATCATCATCATCATCATCATCATCATCATCATCATCATCATCATTCCATATTTCACTATTGATCTTATATCAACTGGATGGGAAATTTTCACACTAATTTGGTGTTTTATTCAGAACGTTCTCATTATATTCCTTTTGTTGACAATGTTTGAAACTACATCACAGTCATTCAACCATTGTGCACCTACTGTTATAGAAAGTAACTGTTCAGATATGGTGATATACGTGATTAAGTTTCATCTCAAAATATATTGAAATTAATGTTGCGTTTCGATGGGAATCACGCTGTTGTTATTGAGTGGAATCTTTTTGATGAAAATCACCTTTAGTTCTATCGAATCGTCCAACTACATGATTGATATACGCGCGAAATCATAGTTCAATAGCACATATATTTGTTTAAAGAACGGTTATTTGTGGAGCACAAATATAAATTGGTCACAATATCAACTCGTGGGGTATCTGGAGTAATTAAGGCGTCTGTATATCTGGAAATTTAAAGGCTTCCTTTAATAATAGGATGTAGCGTAATTACAACATACCATAGCGTAAATGACGGCTGATAATTCCATCGAATGTTAACAACGGTTTATCAACAGCCAAAATGTGAACTAACGAGCACACAAATCCGGGAACTGTAGCGTATAAACAAAGATGAAAGGAATTTAAAAAACTGAGAATAACTTTCATAGAAGTTTAGAGGAAGGAATTGTAATAGTAAATAAAGGTAATGTTATAGGTGTAGGTAAAAGCTTTTGGACATAACAAATAAACTTGCGTTACACTATACGCCTACAAATTGTTAGCAATAGAACTGCTTACTGAATCAAGTTAACATTTATAAGTAATCGCAACATTTACAAACCTCATCAATTTATCTTACTAACATTTCAAGTCTCATGATTAGCAGAAAGTTTATTCACTTATTGATTATGCATATATATAGAGCTTCATTCGATATTAGTAACTCTACATAAAAAGACCCATTTAACTTACATGAGAATCATGTTTCATAGAAACCTAAATGATGTTGAGAATTGAATTCTCGCTAATTGACTGGGCGGTGGTTTGTTTACACTGGGAAATAAACGCTGTATTTTATTGTGGTTACGTGATTATACATGAATTAGGAGTCTTAAACTGGGACGAAATAACTGTTCATTGTTTCCTGGTCTTTAGTGGTATCCCAGAATTACTTTAAAATTGTAAGAGAGCTTCTTGAAAATTAGCTTAAAAGAGATTTCGGTCGGTAAATTTCAATCAGCACGAAAGGCAGGACCACATGATGACGGTTACAGCCCGGTAGACGAATAATGGAATTAATCAAATCCTACAGGTGGCCAGATATGGCCAAAATAAATATATGGAGGCAATTTTGAATGGAATAAGCATTAGTGAAATATCTAGTATTCAGAAAACTACAAGTTCCATCAAATATGACTGAGGTCATGGTGATGAGTAATAATTACCATAAAAGCTAGGTTTAAGAATTTCTGACTAAAGCCTGGAATCACCAAGCAATGAATTTCCAGCTACGTAATTTTTTATTCACTCACTGGCTACTTAATAATTAATTAAGTAGGAAAGAACATTATGACTTTATTGGCTGGAATTTTGTTAGATCAATGGGATTAATTTTCACATGTGCACTCTTGTATATCTTTTTTAGACTATCAAATAAAATAAGAGGTTTTCTAAGAGTCCACCATCTGTTAATATTAGTTATATCAAATTTATGTTCTCATCATAGTACTACGCCTGCATTTATTCGGTTATTTTAGAGCTATTTTACCGTGATTTTCTTATTAGCAATTGTTGAGTTTACTCTGTCAAATGTGAAGACTTCACGAAGCAGTAAAGTATTGGAGAAGGCTTTGTAGTACACGGGAACTCTGTTTAAACCAATATAACTATAATATCAACGCAATGAATTCGCTAACTGTCCCGTGGTGTAAGATATTTTATCAAACTTTGTTAAACGAACTGTCCAACTAAGTCACATCATTCTATTTCAACTTACTAACTCTACCCTACAGGAATAATATTATAAATATCTAGTAGATAGATCAATTTCCGGAAATCATCAAAATGCACAGCAAGGAAAGCTTTAGTTTGGAATCCTGAAGGTCAAAGTAAAAGAGGGAGACCAAAAAAACATTACCCTGGGAATTATCGCCAGACATCAAAAGAACGAATAGAAATCGGCTATAACTGAGAAGGAAAAGTGAGGGCAGAGTCGATCGCAAATGTCTGTCCGGGGGCCTATGTTTTACAACGGGCAACAGGTGTAAGAAAATAAACCATTTAATGGACGGTCAAAATTGTAACTTAGCTGTGAAGTTATGTCCACGTCGCCTAATACTTATATTTGAAAAACGAGAATCCACTATAAGTCCCCAGATAAAAAGTAAAAACACTAAGACTGGTACAAGTGAAAATTTATTAACTCTAAAAAGCGATGACCCTAGTCAAAAATACAGTCATTTATATATTGATTGCACATTCATTTGGATTATTAATTAGAATAAAATAACATACATCAAAAATACCCAGACTTATGACAAATCACATGCTGCATATCATGCTGAGCATAGTTCATATTAGTTTATTGCAAAAACATTGTATCTTGAGTAACCAACACACTGAACTAAAGCGACTTATGGTGATTAAAATAGTACACCGTAAGTAAAACAAATATTACAGTTGATAACCATAGTACTGAATTAAAAACGGAAGTGATGTTGAAAAAGTGTTATAATGAGCTCAAAACGTAATTTCGGCTTCCCATCCCGTCATATTAAAAGGGTATAAAGACTTTCGTTCGAGGTATTTTATATTCAGTATGATGGAGTGCGGATCTTTAGAAATATCCAATTACATCGATATGATTAATCCTCAGTAGTGTTACCCAGTCACCAATTATAGATATAAATACCTTTTATGTGAATCTTGTGCTATCGCTATATACAACCATTAATTACATTTAAGACAAAATGGGATTGTTGTCGTTTTTACAAAAAGAATTATTTTTATCTTGTATACCTTAGGTACATTGCATGAAAAGCTTATAAGACCCACTGATATCAAAAGTGAATTCATAATCCACGATATGATTGAAAAGAGTGAAAATCCAATCACATATCCACTATACTGCAAGAAAAGTGATTATATACTGATTACTTTTAGAAATAACTTGATGACATATTTGCTACAGTACACTGTTAACAGAGATCGTATGTCGTTGTTTTTATTTATCTGACTGATATGATCATCTGGATTAGTATTACAGAAGAAATATACATTTGGACTGATGATGCACAGATCTAAGATAAGTGCAATCATCACTACCATTAGCACTTTTTGCGTCACTGATTCATATTAATATCACAAGACAACAGAAACCACAAATTGTTTCAACAAGTTAAATCTGTAATGAAGAACTACTGGCTAGTGGAACGGTATTATAGATCTAACCAGTAAAATCATCCAGACCATGTTGTAGAAAAGATCGAAATTTCACAAAACAAAGATCTTCAATGTCAATTTTTAATTGATACGACCATTTCCAACCATTCGTCATTATTCGTTTATAACTGTCGTTTAAGATCTTTTCTCTGACTGGGCTCCTTTATGTAGGCAGAAGCTACATAAATTCATCGTATGACATTAATAGGTTAGCTATCCCATATGTCATAAGAGTAAACGCCTTGAAGAACATTGTCCGGCATGGCTGAAAAGAGGAGGAAGCGGCTCAATACGAAGCTCAGTAATCGAGCACCTCGTGAACACAGGTCACTCAATCAAGACATTTACAAGGTAAGTAGAAGTCTCCCCAAAACAATTAGACTGCATCTTCTTTGCATTGCCGAAGCTTTAGCGATACACCTAGAAAGACCAGAATTGTGTGTGCAAAAGCTACTGGTACAACCTATTCTTCTACTATGGCCCTGATGTCTTATATTTTTCTTTTCATACTCTTCCTTTACGGCTATCTGCTTCACCCTCCATCTTTCCCTTAAGTTTTCTACCCCCAACCGGTTCATTTTGTTTCCACGATCATCCTCATTACATTTAATCTAAATTTCAATATTTATCTTATCATGCTGAGCTATCCTTTCCCAATGATAATTTCCCTATGTATCATTTAATGAATACTTAAGCCATTAACAATCAAAAGCTTATTAAACTTTCCTTGTTTTTAAAAGAATTTTTTAATAACTTTGTTTATTTAACTTCACTGTCAACATGCCTAACAGAAGTTTATAATCATCCTGTTAAAATAAGTATATATATTTGCGATTGTATAGCTTTGAAAATGAATTCGCCGAAAGAGGACTCTTCACTGAACTAATCTTTTTTAATTAATGTCTTAATGGGTATAATCCGTTTATTAAAAAATTTGTCTTTATCAAAATTATCTTCAAAAATGTTTACCATCATATCTGAATAGATTTAATTTATTTTTTATATATAATGGGGACACTGCGATAAGTGATATTATCATTATCAGTGATTTAATTAATCCTTCTTACGTAGTGTATATAGGTTTTAGATACAAATTAAGTTTGAAATGACGATGCCTAAAAAAGCTTTCGTTGTACGACAGAATAAAATTTAAAAAATATGAAAAAAAACGATCAAACACTTTGTATCCCCTGCAACTGAATATACACCAATATACAATAATAAATTTATGAATCTCATATGGGAAATATGTAGTTTTTTGTAAAGAAAACAATATTTCTCTATATTTTCAATGGTCATATTGGGAAAATATTTGAAAATAAAAACAATGAACATGGTATTTTCAGCTTATTTCATAACATAATATACAAACGGAAACTAGCTCAAATTTTTATATCATGAGACAAGTAAGCAAAAGAAACGCAAAATATACTGTACAGTAAGATGCAGAATAATTAAAGGAAGTTGATAATTAAAATAAGAACATTTGACAGTAAATACTAATCATAGTGACATATTACGACCTTCAATACTCATTGGAACTGCACGAGCAGCTTTGGCATGACTTTTACGAGCACTATTACTTAAATTTCGAATATGACTTTCAATTCGTGATGTAGCTCCAAAACCAGATGTTCGTGTTTTTCGATGCTTTCGAGAAAGTGACTGAGATTGTTCTGTCTGATCATCATTTCCCTCTTCGTCATTATCATCTCCAGTAGCATTCTCTCGAACACGCCATTTTGGTCGGATAATATAATCTTTATTTGACGGTTGAGGAACTCGGGCTCTATTAACCCATCCAGGATCACCAGGCCTCAAAAGTCTATAGTCATAAAGCAATAAATCAGAAATATTCATCGAAAATATGGTTTGTTTTAAATATATTAAAAAAACAAGATAATTAGTAGTAAAAAGGTTAGGCGATTCCGAAATAAGCGCAAGGCTACTCATAACGCTTTGACAGATATTTTAAATTATAAAGTGTAGAACAATTAAAGATAGTAATCACCATTAACTGAACATTGAGGACAGTTATTAGTTGGTCAGAATTTTTCACAAATACGCCCTCTTTAAAACTAATTTAGAATTTCAAAGTATCATACATAAGCAGAAAGAAATGTAAACTACAGAAGAAACAATGAATGATTTTCGCTATCAAAATGAGTGGTTATATAGCATAAAGTTATTATCTGTATTATTCTTTACCGTACGACTAGGATTGGAAATGTCATTAGCAATTTATTCTGATCTTTAGCATTGTTGTATTATTTTGTTGTAGCCAGGTTTAAAGCATTTTTAGTCATTTTAATGTAGATTTTGTGTAGGGTTATTATTGATTTATCGAAAATAGATCTTTCTTCATCAGTATAGAGTTGTGGAGATTGTTGAGTTCTAATCGAGATAATGAATGGATCAACGTTAGACTACTATTGAAAACCTAGAAGCTTTGGACGGCCGTTTCGTTCTAGTATGGGAATTTTCAGCAATGTGCATCCACGATCCCATGCGCGGGACTCGAACCAAGGATTTTCGATCTCTCGCGCAAACGCACAACTTCTAGACCAGTGAACCGGGATCCAACGATGTTAATATCTAGCTTCGATCGATTAATGATCTTGCGCAACTCTTCATCTATTGTCTGAGGTGGATAACTGTCTCACACTCGACATGGATTGGACTCCACTGGTCACTGAGACCGAAGGTGCTGGGTCCCCGTCTCGCGTGAGGGACCGTGGATGCGCACTGCTGAGGAATTCCATATTGAGACGAAACGGCAGTCCAAAGCTTCTAGGTTTTCAATGATGGTCTAGCTTAGATTGACTAGTGAATTCAACTTTGAAAATACTACAATCTCCACAAATCCTCAAAATTGATACTAAAAATATGACTGTAGTAAAGAGGTCTTATATGCGTTTATTATAAATCGAGCATACAAGGTCCTTGCATAAATAAACTTACTAAGTACGATCACGGACGGGTCGATTTTGATTCTAAATACTCACCGTAACGAGCGAATTTTCAGATCAGTCATCAGGTTTTCTGAACCCTTGAACGAGTTATCCAAATGATATATGCGATGAAACCCCATTCCTTTCTTGTTGTATATATCAATTTATAAACAAAAGTGGCTTGACATTAAGGTTATCAATTCATTTTCACGCTTTTTATCCATGTGTAATATGTTTCAAATTATTGATTAGTTGTAGTCAGGGGATATTTATCCTCCCATTTCTATTTGGGAATTCTTCTTGATAAACTCGAATTACCCACTATTCTACTTCCAACACAACGTACACTAGTTATGGTGATATCACTTATTGAACAAATACAGATTCGTACACTCAACTTTGAGTCATATTTTGTGTGAAGGCTAGTGATAGTACCGAGATGCCCAAACTGAGGTAGGTGAAACGGAGACATCAACTCCCCTTTAACCATTAAAACAACTGACCTACAGCATCGGACATGGTGAAAGCAAACGAACTAGACTGTGACTGGTAAATATACAGTCATACTTTTAGATGATGGCAAATAATTAAGAACGCTATGATACAATCAAAAAGCCACTGAAAGTATGTGAGGCATAAATAAAAAATTTTGATTTTAGACTTGGACTGTAAATTACTCAGTGAAATTGAAAGTAATCAGTTTTTGCCAGACAATTCTTCATGTTTGGTTACGTTCTTTAAATAATGAACGACGAAGATATTAGTGGATTGATTCTTATTTCTGATGAAGTGTATTTGCGTCATCAATTTTACATGATGCCTTAGTTCCGTCTTTATATTGTATTAAATTACTTGCTATTACTGAGTAGTATTTACATCATTTAGTTGTTTTTTAACTTGACACATCAATGCATTTCTTTTGATTTATTTGTTTCATATTATTTTGACAAATACTTTGAGCATTATTGGTCTTATTTACCCTGTTTAGTATTTGAACGTAGTGCGATTTCGTTTCTGAACAGAACTGTAATGAGTTCATGGGTGTTGTGTTCCTACTTAAAACAAATTTTGGAGCTTTTTAGCATTAGATTTTTTGAACGGTGCAAAGATTATAGACGATTATCCCACAAGACTAATAAGATAGCAACACTGATGAATGAAGGAATTTAATGAATATACAAGATTAATTGATTAATCAATAATTACGAGTCAAAATGATGTCGATTGATGCTAGAAAAAAAGATTGGTTTCACAAGGTTAATGGTGGATACGGAGGATTCACCTAGGGAAGTTGGAAAACCCTGATTCCAAATCAGTGGTTTACATGGGCTCCAGAATCCTAAGGAAACAAATGGTGCATGAACCTACTGTTGGTCACCGGCTACCATGGGACTGCATCTCCTGAAGTTGCTCCACTACCTTATGGATTAGACCTTTAGGTTAAAGGCTCGGGGTGTGGACCCCTAGAAACACCACCTGCTTCGGTTTGGGCACCCGGGCAGTATCCCAACCCTCACATAAATTAAATGATTTATTTGACGCATATCTTTTTGGTGCTTCCTTGTAACAATGCTTATGTGTTTAAATAGATAAATAATAAGTACAAGCTTAATGAATACTGCTGATTACCAACAATATAAGCAATTTTTCTACTGCGTACAAGGAGAAATAGACAAAGTCAAAATCAGAAAAACTAGAAGTGATCTTTACAGTTTTAGAACGATTCATTTGAAATGTAATTGAGTAAAGGTAAAATGTAATGGTAGAGTAATGATAATACCAACAATAGCAATGAGGAATTCTTCTTACCCTTTGGCTTCACCATCCAATTCACGGTTAATGTCCCGATGGTTGTAGGCCTCGTTACTGTAATTAAGCAAGTCAAGTGAAGTTTAATATTCTACAATATTTAATGTTTTAAACAAAGACAATATATAAAATTAAAATTCATTTTCATTGAAAACTTGGTCTACCGAAATAATCATTCTTCCATCATAATCAACGATCGAACAAGCGATCAGTGCAATCATAGTTCTAAGCTTCTGAGGAATATCTTCTTAAAAATCAATGGTGCTATATTAGACCTAAATTCTATATAATTCATGATTCAAAAACTAATAAACTGATCGAATTGGTTTTATATCCTGATAAAAAAACAACTATTATTTAAACATTCTATAATTAGGTGAAATTCGTTCACGGTCACTTGTGATTCTGGTAGGGATTTATTTATATCATACATATTCGATAGTTAGTCATAGTATAAAAAAGTTTTATTCGGATAAATCGGAATCATGGTATCTTATAAAAGAAATGCCATATATAATAATAAAATGGTTAACCATGTATGACGATGCTGGTAGAGTAAGCGTTCACAAAAGTCAGGAGACAATCAAATATATTCAGTACGAATAATTATATGGAATTTGATACAGACAACTGATGTATTCGTAGTATTGATAGCAAATTTCCCATACATTACTAATCTCGACCATCGAACTCTGATATTAAATTGATTATTCTGTTAGTGTGAGGTTCTCTATACAAATGATATGAAAAGCTAAACATTAGCCCGTTACCATACATCTGTGTCAATATAAGTTCATTCATAATTAATCCAACAGTAGACAAACATATGCAGGTTTTACCTTGCTCATGACCGACTGACTAACTAGATAAAAAAATACAAAATACATGGTCGATTCATAATACTCATGTGCAGAAATCAGGTACAGAAACAGACAAGATAAGTGTACTTTTGTACGTTGAAAATTGCGAAATTCTCAACTAAAGTATTTCACTGAACAGCTTTGAAATTTAATGAATTCATTATTCTGAAGACCATGTGTCCTATGATTACAATATCAAATTCCATTTTTTAAAACTCTATGCTACGAGAAAACTAGATACAGACAAAATTCGTAAATAAGATTATTCAATATAATCTTCAATTCGTGTAATACGATAAGGCACGTAATATAAATATTTCAATTTGCATCACTTATGAAATAGTGAACACTTTTATCATAAGTGTCAATTTATTAGACACACTGTAAATGGCAATACTATTTTGACTATTTATTTGAAGTTTTTAGTTATTGAATAAAACAGGACCTGATAAATGGTTTTTATAAAATTATATTACAGAAAGACACCACTTAATAGGTACATTATTTTATAGACAGAAGATAGCTAAACGAGACAGTTGAATGTTTCTGAATACCAACAAAGATAAATATTACCAACTATCAAATAAATTCTAAATTTAACACTTGGATTTCACTCATAAATTTGAAAATAAAAAGTCATCTCATTTGCTAATAACAGGTCGACATGTATATATGGTAGTCAGTATTTCTGTACTATATAATTATAAATTGATCCAAATAGTATTGACATCAAGATATAGTGAACACGGGATTTAAATTCCACATTACGCGCTGTTCTATTACTTACTTACCAAGTTTACACATTCGGTTCTCAACAACACTTTGTTCTTATATGAGGCTTCCTAATATCACCCAGTTAATTAGACAGAAGTTAATGAAGCTGGATTCTAACCTATAACCTATTGGTTGAAAACTAAGTTTTAAACTACGAACCACCTCTTCTACGCAACTTATATACAAACTTTTGTATCAAATAGTCAATATTAGAGACTGTTGTTACATAAAGGATTAATGAACATGCTCTAAAGTGAAAAAAATATTTGTAACACAAAATATGAATGTTAACAGCGTCACTTAACGGTTTATTAGATACTTTTTTAGTAGACACATTCAACAATATGACCATGGAAATAGAACTTACTCGATGTTTCTCCGCTTAGGTAAATGTTCATAATCTAGCTGTTTACGTTCCTCCTTAGTGAGAGTCCGATAGTCACTAGTCAAGTTGAATATGGGTCGGAGCCATTCATCTACAATGAAGCACCAGATCATACACATAGAAATATGAAACAAAGATCAGCAATAAGGGAAGTATCGTGATTAGTCTACAAAAACTAAACGACATAAAGTACAAACCAGTGCTATATTTACCCTCCTTTTGTGATGTTTCGCTACTAAGTAGTAACTGACAATGATGTCCATGCCACTGACTACACTTAGTGTACAGGCTGTTTTCCAATGAAAAGTATTCTTCATGTACGGTTTTTACAGCAGGCAGAAGTGAATAATCATCATCAATCTTGTGAACTTTATTTTCATTTGTTAACATACCGGTGTCTCACAGTTGCACCATTTTTGTTGAATATCAAACATATAAGTAATGAGAGTAATAATAATATCCAAACAGATATTCTCACATTCATTTTGTCAGCTACTGATTCTTTTTTAAGAAATTTATTTGCTTAGGATTTGAGGCTGCTCCAAGAGTATAAATTATCAATTCACCCTTCTTTGTCATAGTAACATTTCAAGTCGGGCTTAGTAGTTGTAACTTTCTGTGATTTAACAACTGCATAAAGTTGGCTTTTTACACCATACGGTCAACACCAGATTATTTATACATGAAGACAGGATGCTATTCAGGGCATAGATATACAATTTCCACCTAATTTTAGCTTATAATGTGAGTATTAAGTTGTGCTGGTCCTATAATATATTCTCGTTGCTAACTTCGTAGTTTTAGTCTTAGCAAACCAGTAGATTACCGGGAAAATGTAATGCGACCAAACAATCAATTTTATACTGGTGTTTGAAATTAAGGTTTTTGTAAAGATCAGTGATACTACCCTGTTGTTCCAAAAAGGTAAAGACATGCAGTCTGATTGTTGGAAATCGGACTAATAAATAAATGGTTTCATTCTATTTATCAGGCCATGAATATTTTGCACTAGTTTTGTGGACCTTTAGCCTGGTTAAAAACATTGAGCTCTTATTTAACGGGCATTTCATTAGCTGTGGTTGAGTGGTTTGAGCGACATTGTCAAAACACGGGCAAAAGGATATTACATGTAAAAAAACCATTCACATTTGTATGATGAGTAGAACATAATGTTGCTGTAACTCAATGCAACTACAGATAATTAACTGGAGTTTAAGATAGTCATGAAATTTTAGGAAAACTACTCACTAATAAGTCTTCCAGCTCTATCCTTGTTTTCTCGAGTTTCTCTCGGGTGTTTGTACAAATACATCAAGGCTTTCCCGATACCGGATTCTTGAAGAACTTCAGATGACAGTGACTGGAACTCACTGAGACTAGTCAACATAGAGTCACGAATAACGAGATTCGGGAGTGTATGACCAGGTAAAGGGGATAGCCACTCAGTTATAGCGGAAAGCATTCCATTTTCTATTAAGGCGGATTTCAGGTCAGCTCGCCTAAGAATAGCTAATACTTCTTTGAGCATGTTCAGTTTCTTGGTCGCTGGTCGACTAGCTGTAAGTAACTGTCTGTCTTCATCGGCAGCACTTTTCATTCGAGAAATGGTTTCAACAATCAAATCATCACTATCATTAAGGAATTCAATATCCCTATTACGTCTACGTCTTCGTCGTGATTCTTCTTTCTTTTTTTCCATTATCCGGTCAAAGTCGGAAACGAACTCATCATCATGTTCAGACTCTTCATCCCCTTCGTTTTCTCCAGCTGTCGTAAGGGGACCTTTTTTTGTTACTAACTCACTAGATGTTTGAACTTCAACCTCCTCTTCAATACCTTTGTCCAGTTCATTTTCGGCGAAGCCCTCAAATTCTTCTTCTGCATCACTTTCGCCAAATATATCTGCTATGATGCCATCCACTTGAGATTCTGGTTGTTCATCTCTCTCAAAACCTTCGAAGTCTTCATTGAATTTACCTTGATCTTGATCATCATCATGATCTTCAAAAATGTCAGGGAAATTATTATACCGGAGTGATTCGATGGGAGAATTATGTTTGGTTGTAGGATATTTCTCTACAGAATTCACTTGAGGAGTTTCATCGACTTCCTGTTGATGAAACTCTTCCTGATCTTTTTCGCTTACTGAGTCATCGTTGCTCTCGTGTTCGACTTCATCTTCCTGATGCACTTCACTAGAAATATTTGGATCAGCTTTCCTAGTCACATTTACATCTGATGCATGTTCACTTCCGGAATAACTCAGGGCAGGACTGGATTCGGGAGTTAAAGCTTGACTTGGAGCATAACCTGGGGTAGTGACATCCACAACAGGTTCAACGTGATATTCCCTATCGTAATCCAGATTCTCCGAAAAATGATTTTGTTCAGATTTAACGATCGAATGCTCACTCGAAGAATCAACTGGAGAATGTGGAGGATTATGAGAATAAGATAAGTGATCTTCCAGATCATCACTTAGATCGTCAGAGCCCGAATTCTAAGAATGATCATTTGGCATATTTATAACTTACTTCATCAGCTTCAGAAGGAACATATCTAGGTTTATATGATACATTTTGATTATCCACAATCCGGCTGCGAACAGGATCATAACCATCATGTTCATCACCAGACTCATCTTCAAAACTTGAATCCCTAGAACAAATAAATTAATAAATAAAATCAGAGAAAATAAACTGAAGGGTAATTATGGATAAATTCAAATAGAATAGTGAAGAACTGAACGAACCGGCTTCCAGATGAAGAGACATTGGGAAAAAACGCTAGGGGCGTCATGCAGTTGCAATCAATGCCCATCTTTACTTTTAGGTGGAATGGTAGCCAACCTAGAAGCTAGAGCTCGGTTCGATACTTACTAGCAACAAAGTTGCAACCAACTTGCTGACATCAATCCTTTGGTGGCGGTCACTTCGTTGGCCACTGAAAAGTAAAGTAAGATTGGCGCAGACGAGGGCATGATCAGAGTGCAGATAGGTACTCCAAAAGGAACGTCAGTCTTGTACACAATCACGCCAGCGGTAGCTGATCGCGATGTGATCAATCTGAGTCCAGGCTTGAGATGCAGAGGGAGGACGTCAGGTGGTACATTGGCTATAACTGTACCGAAAGTTAGTGCTAGCCAGAAACAGGTTGTGGTCTGTGCACAGTTGCAGTAGACGGTCCTCGTTATCTGTCTTGCGACCAACAAGTCCCCATCAGCCACCTAAACGACTCTCTTCTGTGCCTAGACGCCCGACCTGAGCATTCATGTCTCCGGCTAGTACTACAATATCTGTCGAACGCACTTTCTGGAGAAGAACAGTTAACTGGTGATAGAATTCATCCGGGCTGCAATCTGTCGGGACATAGGCAGAGATGACGAAAAACATCGTTTCTCACGCCGATTTCTTCTCAATTTGATGGAACTCTCTAATCTAACAGCACATAACTGACTGTTAATGGGGATTCAATCGATTAGTGCTGCCTCAGCTCTAGCGTTTAGTCGACACCAACGCCAGCAAGACCAGACGAAGATGCCACAGGGTCCTCGGATAAACGCACGTAAAACAAGCTTTTCGAGGCAACTGATGGAGAGCGAATTTATAGTACTTCACCAGAGTCTTGAATACGGGTCTCGGATAGGCAACAAACGTCGATATTAAGACTTTCCAAAGACATCCGGTTTTGGAAATGGTTGAAAGAAAGTTAGGGGCGGCCAAACCAAAACGTGGCATCAGTGCTTGAAGTCACTAACTTCTAGTCTGAGCCATGTTGGCAGATGCAGACTACTTGGTTGGGGTCCGCGTGACTATCGTAACCAATAGTTGGACACTGTGTGACATGGCTCAGAATCTATCACAATGGCGTTGGTGTATACACTCCCTGTCTTCCCTTAAACTAAGAGATTAAAATCACTTCATATCTTTCTTTCTACGAACCAATTCTTTCTTCTTGTACTATATGTCTATATGCAATCTTTCTCTTACATGCTATGAATCCGGTGTTCATCTTGCTGTGCTGATGCGGTATGGCAACCTGGACCGATGCACATATGTGCCTGGTCCTACGTTGTAGCTGACTGACTGACTGACTATCTGTTGAATGATGGTTTCAGAAAAACTGCTTCAGTATTCGTATTTGGTGGTAGCATACAATTTTCAACCAGGCAGTGATTCTAGAACGTTTAGATAGAAGTTTCCACCATGGGCGAGCTGTTGTATAAGTCGAAAAATAAGTATATACAAAGTGGAAATAAAAGAGAGCGAATAAGTGACGTAGTAAATAATAATAATAATAATGTGAATTATTTGACTGTTAATCGAAGAGTTAAAAGAATTTTCAGTAAATATCATTTTCATTTTATTTGCGTGTGAGCTGTGACACTGCCCGGGCGCCCATACCGAAGCAGGTAGTTTTCTTAGGGGGCCACACCCCGAGCCTTTGACCTAAAGGTTTGACCCACAAGAAAGTGGTGACCGCCCTCACATCTCCAGCAGCACTCAAGACCACTGTATTCATTATCAACCTCTCCCTTCAGTCCCTATTACTCCCTCTACATCGCTTTTCAACACTAAACTTCCTCCTCAAGTGTCATCATGACCAACGATTCTAGTGCGCGAAGCACTGTCCCAGGTCTACTGAAACCTCGCTTCAAACTACGCATTGGAGCCTTCAACGTACGCACCTTGGCTGAGACTCTAGAATCTTGTACCATTGATGTATGCTGTGTCTCCGAAACACGCATACAGGATCCTAGTGTGGCCATTCACTTGACCTCACCTCGCCTAAACGGAGAGCCGACGAGATACACTCTCCGTGTATCTGGCGACCTGATTGCTAGTTCTCATGGACTGGCAGGTGTGGGCACAGCAGTAAGCACGAGAGAGGAACAAGTACTATTAGAGTGGATCCCCGTTACCAGTCGTCTGTAGTGTTCGGCTTAACGGCTCCGTAAGAACTCGAAGAGACAGGAACACACGTCGTTGCCTTTTCGTCGTTTTTACCTACGCTCTGACTGACTGCAGCTCGGATGAAGTTAAAGATGATTTTTACAGAAAGCTTTCTGAACTTCTTCAGAAAGCTAAACGCTGAGACATAGTACTCGTAGGAGGTGACTTTAATGCCCAAGTAGGTAGCTTAAACCAAAGAGAAAGACATTAAGGTGGGTATTTTGGTATTTCGGCTTAGAGAACAGATAATGGTGATCGTCTGCTGCAACTATGCTCAGACAATCGTTTATTTTTAGCAAACATTAATTTTAGGCATAAGGAGAGACATCGTCTAACATGGTGACCCCCTGCACCAAACAAACGATGGACTCAAATAGAGCTTATTGTCGTCAGTCATCGTTGAAGAGTGTCGATAGATTGTCGCTCGTTCTGGAATACCTGCGTGGACTCGGATCATGCTCTAATACGAGCACGTATCTCCTTGCGCCTCACTGAACACAGGAAAGCCACACCAAGAAGACCCATCAGAAGTGAATTAAGTGATGAGAAAGCTGGAAATAGATTCCAGGAACAACTGAGGCCCCACTTAGGTAGTTCTAGAAACGAGGTTGACCCAGATGTTGTTTGGAAAGATATACAAACAGCTGTGGAAACAACAGTGACATCTGTTGGTGATTTAAATCAAAGGGTTACAAAGTCTATCGCACTGATGGATTTTCGTAAACTCATCCCATCAGGCTTTGAACACGATGATGAGCAAAATCAAAAGAGATGGAAAAAGCGGCGACTATAGGTAGCAGTAGACAGCTCTTCCCCAGGACAGAGTGGGTTGGAGAATGCTGGTCAGCGGCCTATGCTCCATTGGGAGTAACAGGCGTAAGTAAGTAAGTAAGACAGCTCTTCAGACTCATAAAAGAAACTGGAATTAATAAGTCAAGTGTGAGACTATCTCGGAAAAAGACGACACTCTCATCTGCTCCCGGTCCAGACGTTTAGAACGATGGGCGGAACACTTTAAGGAGCAGTTCAGCTGGCCTTCAGTTACTCTACAACTACCCACCATTCCCAGACAGCATGAATGGAACATTGAAGTACGTCCCCCGACTCTAACTGAGGTTCAAAGGGATATAGCTAATCTGAAACGAGGAAGAGCAGCTGGACCAGATGGATTGACCCCAGAGGTCTTGAAATATGGTTGTCCAATTTCAGCGATTAGGTTGACTAATATTTTAGCTAAATCCTGGGAGTTGGACGTTATCCCATCTGACTGCTCTCAGTTACTGATTGTCTCAATATATATGAGAAGGGGGTCAAAATCATCCTGCAATAACCATTTAGGGATTAGTTTGACTAAAATAGCATCTAAAGTAATAACCTCAACAATTATCGGGAGCCTAACAAAGACTTGTGAACCGTGAACGCGAGAAAACCAGGCTGACCTTAGATCTGGTTGTGACTGCATCGACCACATATTCACCATTCGTCAGGTTCTAGAACACCACCGACAATGGTGGTCTTTCTTGACTTAAAAGCAGCATTTGATTCTGTAGACCGAGAGGTTCGGTGGCATTGTCTATCATTGAAAGGTGTACTTCAGAAGTACGTAGACCTTGTGAAGACTTTACTCGAACACTACTAGTCGAGTCAGAGCTTATGGCGAACTGTCATCTGCTTTCACAACCTCAGGTGGTGTCCGTCAAGGCTGTCCACTTCCTCCATTTTTATTTAACTTCATCATAGACCTACTGATGGAAATAAAATTCTCGTCGACTGAATTCTCGGGTATTGATCTCCTTCCAGGAGGTCCACTTATCGACTTGGAATACGCAGATGACATAGTTCTGTTTGGTGAAGACGCTGACAAAATGCAGAGTCTTCTGATAGCACTAAGCAACAATGCCAGAATGTTTGGAATGCGCTTCTTTCCCTCTAAATGCAAGTTGTTGCTTCAGGACTGGTCTGTGACAACACCTGAACTAAGGATAGGGAGCGAAGTAGTCGAACGCGTTGACAACTTCGCTTATCTTGGAAGTCTGATCAGCCCTAATGGGCTGGTATTGGACGAAATCTCAGCACGGATTCGAAAAGCTCGTTTGGCTTTTGCCAACTTACGTCACCTATGGCGAGATATCCGTCTATTAATAAAAGGACGAGTATAGTGCGCGGCAGTCCGTTCTGTTTTAATTTACGGCAGCGAAACAAGGCCATTAAGAGTAGAAAACACTCGTAAGTTACTAGTATTTGACCACAGATGCCTTGGAAATATTGCTGGCGTCTGCTGCGATCACCGGGTAAGTAATAGTGAGGTATTAGGGAAGGATGGTAAATCAGTCGATGAGGTTGTGAATCTTCATCGGCTGAGATGGTTGGGCCACGTGTTACGTATGCCTGAACACCGATTACCACGACGTGCAATGCTAACCGGTGTTGGAGGTGGTTGGAAGAAAGTTAGGGGCGGCCAAACAAAAACGTGGCATAAGTGCTTGAAGTTACTAACATCTATTCTAAGCCATGTTGGTAGATGCAGACTACTTGGTTGCAGTCCGCGTGACTATCGTAACCAATAGTTGGACACTGTGTGACATGGCTCAGAATCTATCACAATGGCGTGGGTGTATACACTCTTTATCTTCCCTTAAACTATGAGATTAAAGTTATTTAATATTTTTTCTTTCTACGGTGTTCGTCTTGCTGTGTTAATGAGGTGTGGCAACTTGGACCGATGCATGTGTGTGCCTGGTCCTACGTTGTAACTGACTACATGATTATTATGACCAATAGTTTGGGGCTTGAAGTGACATGCCTCGAAATCGTTTGCAATGCATATACTTTTTATCCTACCTTAGATACTAAGATTCTAAGTTCCTTGTACATTGTTCTCTATTTTACGAATTTACATTTCCTCCTTCAATCGTATTTCCGATATCTAATTGTTTATATTATTACTAGTACTGTTAACACATTTACTATTCTGGAATTTTCCTAATAGTTTCATCTCGTGCTAATGGTGTAAGGCAACTTGGACCGATATACACATGTCCCAGGTTCCAAGTTGCGTATGACTGGCTGGTACTAAACCCGGCAAGGTCGATTTATCATTAACTCTGTAAAATAAGGCTGACCAGTGCACTGCATAAGTGTTGTATGTTGCTTAATGAAGCAGTGGATTTGTAAGGATATTTATTTACATTATTAACCATCTGTAAGATTAATAGGTATGGATAACATGAAGCTAACAGGATATATCTCTCTCTCTGGTCTAATATACGTTAGGCTCAATATACAAAAGTGGTTGACAAGTGACAAAAAACGTATAAAATCAAAACATATCAAAACTCTATACAGAAACGGACTACCAGCTTGAGTTATTCCAGTCAGTCATGATTAACATGCAGCCTAGAACAAACGTACATCATGAGTTGCCATACAAAACCGTCAAATACGGTGTAGGTATAATGGCAAGTACACGTCAGAAAAAATAAAGCCACCATTAGAAATTTTGTCAACCACGTTTTCTTACTTCACTATGTTATTATCATTTGATCCTTGTTGAAACGAATTAAATATTACAGTAAGGGAATTTTCATGTTAAGCTAATTGAAAGATCTACCTTAATTTACATGAACGACCCTCTGAAATACTTCCTTTTATCAATTTAAAACTTTAGAGAGAAGTACACACCCAGAAGAGTAAGTTAACTCAAACTCGATTTCAAAGTTAGCTGAACAACGGATCAACCTTTAATTCTGAAGTGTAAACTGGTCTGTGTGCAGCATGATGCAGAAAACACATACAGTTTGAACAGTTATTGTCATTAGTAAAGATTTATACATATCGACCCGCTATGATGCGAAACTACATGTCAGGTGTAGTGAAATTGTCTTTTTAATCAACATTATACAGTTAACTCTGAAATGCATTTTTGACTAGTTTGACGGTAGAAATTCTTATCCTCCATTAAGTAAATGGACAGTCGTTTCTACTAATGTAAAGAGGATAAGAACAATGCATCGAAAACAAGTTCGGAGATTATTCACAAAAGCAGTTCGTGGTCTCAGGTTTATATCCTGCAATGAGCGACTGAAGTCAGACAGTCAGCGACAACGTAGGGTCAGGGACATATGTGCATCGGTTCAAGTTGCCACACCTCATTAGCACAACAAGATGAACACCGGGTTCATAGAAGCAGTTAATTCAGTGGTGGTAATATATAAGAGAAAGATTGCATTTAAGGATATAGTAAAGGAAGGGAAAATTAGACTGCAGAAAGAAAGACATGGAGTGATTTTAATCCCATGGTTTAAGGGAAGATATAGAGTGTATACACCCACGCCATTGTGGTTGATTCTGAGTCATGTCACACAGTCTCCAACTATTGGTTACGATAGTTACGCGGACCGCAACCAAGTAGTCTGCATCTACCAACATGGCTCAGAATAGATGTTGGCGACTTTAATCACTAATTGAAAGAACTGAATCAAAACGGCTCAGGATATAAGAAACTTGAATGCAACTTAATGACTTAGAACCTTAAGGACACTGAGAGTAACCTTTAAAGGTCCCAAATTTGGGACACACGTTCATTCCCAACAACAAGCTGGGAGCCAAGCATTGGTTGAATTTTAAGCATGTTCACAACTTACAATTCCCTACTGTTCAGTCTTCAGTACTAAGATGGTACAAGGTCTAGCTGGCCTATCTTATGAAGACAGACTGAGACACCTTAACTTATTTCCGTTCAAAGTGGCCTAATTAACTACGCAGAACATCTGGTATCTCCTTAAGGTTTATTTACTAATATTTTTTATCTTGGGTTGTATTCATATACTTAAGGGGCATTACCGATCTACTACCACAAAATACAGAAGCATGTCAGGAGGTGTTATAAGTGCAGATAGTAAGTACATTAGCTACAAATGAAAGTACTCACTCCATCAGCATGACAGTGATAGAACTTTAAAGATTAACTACCAGCTTAGCCGCAGGACTATGGACTTAGAAGCGACCTTGACCTCAGCCAATCAACAACTGAAACCCATGTGACCCCGATTTTGAACGGGAATACGTTCGCAGTGTTTAAAATGTTCAATGAGTTTGTCCTGTTGCGCACTTTCGATCACTTTTCCTTTCATCCACTCAATGAGTGTTTGATACTATGGCTGTAATTTTCAGCGAAGATCATTGAGTCTTCGATACATTTTTATGCCGGTGACGTTCAAATTTGTCGAGAAATAACAGAAGATGAATATGCATGTCCACCTAAGGCTGAATTGGACGTTCTAGTTAACTAGTCCAAAACTGAGTTGATGTCCATCAACACAGCAAGATGTTTCCACACGAAGGCGAATGTTTATAAGGATATAAGGGTGTCGGTGCCTTCACTCTTGTTTCACAACGATCTAGAATTAACAGGGAACGACGGTCCTAAAACCATGGATGCACTTCGAGGGTTTGGAAGCCCTCGAACTTTTAAACGGGCACAAGTATGTTCACTACAGAATACACACTATTAGATCCAAACTTGGAAATGCGTTCAGGATGAAAGCACTCGTTTACAATGTGATTCAGATACCTTAGAAAAATACTAAGGCCAGCTACCCGTGCGATGCCAAAATTCTGATGGCTACCGGATACAAAGTTACCAGATAAGTTAAATATATCTACTCCGCCCTACTTCCGATTAAGGGGTGGTCTAATTTTGAAGTATTAAATACTAAGAAGTGTTTCCGGACCTAATATGTTTAAATGTCAAGGAGAAGCAAATCTTCTGTGGCATACGAGTTTCACAATATGTCACCAACTCTTGAAACTTGTAACAGCCCATCCCGAGTAGTGGTGTCCACAACTTCAATTAACTAATTCATTAGAAAAGTCGGAAGCTCACAGGAGCTTACTGGAAGAGGCCTAACACAAAATCTCGCTTTTATGTCCTCAAGCGTCTGTTGGTATTCACCGCATTCTGTTATGCACAATAAGAGTGACTCACTTTAAGAAGCCTGAAATTTTGTGTTTACCGCTGTCCTGGGGTGGAACATACTGAAAAATACCAAAAACGAGGATCCCTAGAGACCCGTTTTTTCTATGTTTGAGACTTCTTAAAAGCCCCTTAGGTTTTAATGTCAAGGGTCGACTGTATTCTACTACTAAGTTAGTCAGCCAAACAGCATGATTTTCTTTGTATTGTTCTTGGTGATAAGATTTCTAACTCCAGAAAATTATTTACTTTAGAGATTTTGGGTTCGATTGTCCTTTTCAATTACTTATCATCGATGGGTAAACCCTAACATAGTATTTTGATTTCGTTGCTGTCACTGAGATTTTCTCAGCGCTTACAAGCTAACGACTTACTTGATGTCAAGAGTTGTAGGTGATCACACCACTATCAGTAAACGAAACTACTAGACGATACACGGTTAACGAACTTGCCAAAATAGTTTCATGTTGTCTTATACTTATTTATATGTTTTATTATACTTTCGAAATCTATGAGTCGTGTATTCTAATTTTTAGGTTTGGTTTCGTTATTCTGTAACCCAACACCTCATTTCTGGGACAAGTTTTATATTCAATATATTATATATTTTACCTAATGGTTAGTTTTCCAGATATCGCCTGCTGTTTATCGGTTTCCTTCTAGACTTACTCTTACCACAAATTTTTGGTTGCGACCAAAATTGACAAATGCCTCCGAGTAAATAAGAGGGCTCAGATTTATTATTTTCAAGTTTGATGAATCTGGGCGACATCTATCTCATTTGTCCAACACACAGATTCTAAACCTAGGTGTTCTATCCTGTCATACCGATCAGTGTTTCTTCCTTATTTTATTGGTCACGGTGGTAGCTGTGTTACCTAAGTCTCTGACTGCGAATTCGCGAATGGTTCATCTGTGACATCCTACTTAAAAACAAAACGAGGGATGGCCCTGATTATTCCAAATATACGGAGTCCCTCGATATTAATAACTCTTCTTGGTTTCTCTCCTCACACTATGCTGAAAAGTTATTGCAGTGTGACAGTCCTATTCAGTCGACGTCATGAGTGTTATAAAGTATGTTCTATGTTGCCATTCATAATGAAAAATTAAGTATGTGGGCTATGTTCGCAGACTAAGAATACATGGACCCCTAATTTCATAATAATATATCCAAAGAATTAGTGAAGCTATCTTCATTTATATGACCTGATGGACTAAAAAGCATTCCTAATTTTCAATAGTTGAGATCGTCAGTCGATTGAAGCTACTACTGAAATTACTACAATCTCCACAAAACCCCTTCTGATACTAATCAACATATGCTCACTAGTGACTGGCTTCAATAGGTATTTCCTGTAGTTCTAGTGAGAAGCAGTGGAGATCAACCGGGTCACTTGTGAGATAGTAACCCACTGATGACAATGGTGGATGTGTCGCTTGATTTTGTGGGTTAGTTGAAGATAGACATTAACGTGGTTGGATGCTGGCTCAGTGGTCTGAAGGTTAAGCGTTCGTGCACGAGACCGACAGGTCGTACGTTGGAATCTCGCCAGGTGGTATCGTGGATATGCATTTCTGAGGAGTCCCACAATAGGACGAAACGACCGTCCAGTGCTCCTAGATTCTTCATGGTATTCATTATTTGTCTGCTTGTTTATCTCTATATGTCACCAATTTGCTGATTGTAGAAAAACAGTAATACATCTTCCTGATTCAAATTTACTTTATATAAATATTATTTAGAAATTTCACTGGTTGAAATAATGAGTCAACTGAAGCTAGACCACCATGAAAAACCTGGAAGCACTGGACGACCGTTTCGTCCTGGTATGGAACAATAATTGTAAGCTTTTTATCAAACTTTCTGAAAACATCATATGGTTATCATAAATAATAGTTGGTTAAGCACCTGGTGCGAGTCTGATAGGTCCTAGATTTGAATCTAGCTGGGTGGGATCATGGATGGGCACTACTGAGAGGTCCTACACTAGGACGAAACTGCCGTCCAGTGCATTCAGGTTTTCCATGGTGATTTAGCTTCAATTGACTCATGATCTCAACTATTGAAATTCTAATTTTGTGCATATTGTTAATTGGGATTCTAAAAGGGATATTAAAACTATCCAGAATGTGTGCTGTAAGATATGAGTTTAAGGTACTAGTGAGAATATCTCCCATTCATAAGACTGTGACAGTGAAATTTTGGAACGCAAAAGTGTGGAAAACAGAGTGCATCGTGGACTTCCCTATCACAAACATTCCTCCTATTCTGACTATTGCACATGATTTTGAGTAGAATTAGATCTAAAATCGACTGTCACTGAGCTGTCGATGAAGAGAAATCCCACATCATAATTTATGAGTGTGGATATCACCACAGTTACAAACTGGAGGCAAATGAATTTAGTCAAACAACTGCTATTCTAGTTCCACGTATATTCATCTGTATATTTTAGTTTACTCCAAACTTATACTTCACCCTCATTCAACCAAAACCTTCAACTCCACAATATTGAAAGCTGAAGCTCTAAACAAACGAATGGTGGTGTGTTTGCATTAGTAGATCATTCACTATCTAAGAGCTGCCCCTTCACTATGCAACTGTAAAAAAGACCCAAAGTTTTGCAGACCTAGGTTTGGGATGTTCAGATGATCTATACTTTCATAAATATGTTACCAAAATATGTAGGTGGAGGTGAATATTGAGGTGAATAATTCACAACATACAGCTCAGTGTTGCATCTGGTTACGTATCTAGTTTTCATTGCTTAAAGACCCAATCGTTAGATAACTGGTTAATTACACAAACATATTTTGAGCGGTCAAGAATGGTGAAGATACTGGATAAATAGCTAGTTTGAACCATTCGATATAGGAATGAGACAATTTCAGAAGAATTGCAGCTCTGGGATTATTGGTTTTGTTTGCTTATATAGAGATTTTGGTGGAGGTTCGTTTTGATGATGTCACAGGTATTCAGTGTTTGACAACGCTTCTACCAGTAACACCTTCTAATGTATTTCGTTCCCACCCAGAGAAATCAAAAGACGGAGTCGAGGAGATTGGAAGAGTATATTTGGCGATGACCAATATATCGGAATTCTCTGATCTAATCTGGCTAGCGATTGCGATTGATGTTGAGCACGGCGTTACCACACGTGACCTGGTGCGGATGCCTTCAGCTAGATGAGTCCACTAAAACATATGGTCAGCATCCAATGTCGAAAACTTACAGAGCTATTTATTTTAGGGATTTATTTACCGCTACAGATCACTCCCCCCCTAGTGGTGCAGTGATGTCCCTAAGACGTGGCCAGCCAGAAGTTTAAACCCGACGACTTTGTCGTTGGTAAACACTCTTCTGATAGCTTACTAAGTGTAGCAGCGTCTGGTCGTCTTTCCTTACTATATGGGACGGAGGTACAACATAGTAAAAAAAAGAAAATGTACAATGAAAAGTTCGGATCCTCATAAACGTCATCGTTCTTTTCCAGCCGTCCTGGAAAAGAAAGAAGAAAATGTAAGTGCATGTCGAAAGTACACTCGTATGTGCGTAAAAACACAATGTCGGCGGATAAAAAATGAAAAATAAACTCATGAACACGTAATAGCGTTAAAAAATTGTTTTTTTGTTTTGTTTTTTTTAAAAATAGAAATAAAAATATATAAGCATATTAAAATTGTTTTTTGTTTTTTTAAAAAAAAATAATATAAAATGCCTTACGTGCAATAGTCGTTTAAATGTTCTGGAAATCTCACCCTTCTTCCAGAACGCGTCGTTTTAAGTTTATTTTCGGATACTGTCGAAGTATCATCGTGTGTGTTGGTTGTCGGATGAGGTATTATAAGTGTCGGAGTCGTGTCGTTCAATTGTAACGAAGGAAAATTCACGTAGATAGGATTTCCTTCTAAATACGCTGCTTTTAAGCGATCGATGCTGATGCTATCGTTGGTTCCGTTCTTA